GTTAACGTATTGTCCACGGTTGCCGTTCTACAGTAAGCATATTCCTAAGGAAAAAATATGCAAATATAAAGAGCTATGTTATCTGCATTATTAATCGTACGCATGAATTACTTACATAGGTACATTAATTCTAACTAGATTGCGGATATTTATGCGTTTCTGGCATGTAAATGTCAGTAAATGAAATTGTCGATTTACGCTCGACTGAGTAAACCTTTTCATTTCAGAAATTCATTTTTTTGTGACTCTTATTTTTGTAAAATATTACATTTGCATAAACGTCTGCAGTCTAGTAATAAGAAATAATACCGAAATTAAATTAATTACAGTAGTGAGGTATGTGTATGTATAATACGTACATATGAATGTATAAAGTATAGGTATTAAGACACCATAAAAATTAACCTAACGGAATTTATTTAGGAGAAAGCATGCGGGATCTATCGCGCTATACCTACACCTTAAAACACCCTCTGCGCTTATCAGAGGCTCCTGGTTTCTTAATTCGTGTATGTGTGAAAAATTATATAGAATTTGTTGTAATCTGTTTAATTGTCGATAAACAGATAATAGAGCGTTCCAAGGAATAAAAGTGATTACCGGCGAGGGTAAACAGAGGTAATCTTGATCGCGAACAATGCGAAAAGATCGACGGAGTCTCGGTTCCCATGGATTGTATACGAGGTGAATGAAGCCACCAGTCGGTGGATAATTGGACCCTATAAGTATTTACCACCTTTCAATTTTGGTGGTCGGTCACTCGTCTCAACAGGGGTCTGCTGGTACCCCATTGTCTCGTCTTTGCTGTACCTACTCGACGTATCCTTGGGAATTCCCCTGGGAAATCCCAAGGTTTCGCACTTCCGAGCTTTCCATGGTTCCCCGGCTGCCTGGCCCGGAGACAGAGGAACATGTGTTTCGGATTGGAACGAATCACCTTCCCGAAACATTACACCTGATTCTCAACACCCCCGTTCGAGAACTCGAGGAACTGCAATCCGGTCGTAAATCTCTTGTAAAATACTATCTCCTATTGATTACCCGGTGTTCCGTTATGGATCCGTAAATAGATACGCAAATAAATAATCAGATACGGTGTTCCGTCCATTGTGAGGATTTACAATATCCTTTTGAAAACATAGGGAATATATCTGCATAGTAGAGAGACACGCATAAATTAGCGTTTCAAGGAAGTCGGTTGAATTTTTTATGATTGAATATTAAAATAGAAATTTTGATTTTATATCTATGGTGTTCTTAATGAGATGACATTCCCAGAATATTAATCATAAAATAATAAACTATATTACTAGAATTACTCATCATATTTTACTGTATATAATTCTAAAGAATTTTATTTTCATTTTGTTCTTCTTTTATGGAATATTTCTGTTGTTTTCGGTAAATCAATTCTAATTTTGTCATAATTAGCAATTATTTCTACATATTTAATACATAGAACTATTTTTTTAAATGCAAGACATATTACATAATATTGTGTTCTAAACTGAGACGATTTATAGGTTAAACAACACGTAAAATGATTAAATGAAGTTACGCTACAATCTTAAGGTGGTAGTAATTGGGACGTCTACCCTATATGTTTAATAATTTTTAGTATCGTTTAAAAACAACGGTATTGTAGAAGATTAACAAAAAGTAATAATAAAATTTGCATTGATCATATGAGAACAGTGATTATTTCCACAGTAATCACTTACCACAAATATGGTCGCATGCGGAAAACGATATCGACAGAAAAATGGTGGAACATGGTATAATAAAAACCGTCCGATAGGCGTTAAAATGGCATAAATTTGGATAGACTTCGGTAACAGAGTCGCATCATTATCGGGGTCCTAATACTGCGAGACCTCCATTGTCGCGACACCAGATTACGGCGGGCGATTTTGTGACGGGGTTCATTGAAAATCTAAAATAGGGCAGCCCCTTCCCCAACCCCTTTTTCGCGCGGCTATCAGGTAATCGCCGGTATATGGATCGACGTGACGCTGACGGATGGATGGCGGATCGCGTCCGAAAAAACCCAGGGACGAGCGGCGAGAACGTTGAACGAGAATGATGTCTTTCTAAAAACTCGTAATCCCGCTTTCCTGTAATCCGATTTAACTAGGGCCAATCGGCCGGCTGCCGATCGTATAACGGAACGAGCGATTCCGAACGAGAGCAATTGACGGCATCATCGACCGGGCCCGAGATTATATTTCCTTCTATTTCGCAGCCCCGGTGATGCGATACTAAGAAACTTATCGTGAATAAATATTTGCAGGCGGCCACAACGATCTTCTTCCTGGGACGTTAAGAAAATTGAAATATCAGAATTCAAGAAGTGGCATTGATTGGCGAAACAGGACATTATTATTTTATGGTAAAGATAGATAAGCTCCATGGTGGTTGAATAACCAGTAAATTAACTTATGAATAATATTTCTTGCATTTTGTGAATTTTAAAGTATAGAAGGGTGCAGAAGATATGATTGCTTTATGAAATCAATTCTTTAACCGATCGGTTTGGTATCATAGTAAACCTGTAAAGGGTTTTAAAGAGTCACTCAACTGTTTATTCTTTTAGATAGAGAACTTTTCATTGATTTGTATTGTTCTTACAATCATTCTTCATCTATAAATTCTGAATGATTAAAAGCAGAAATTAATAATTAAATTGCCAACGAGTCATTTAAAGCTGCGAACTTGTTAGTTAAAGGGGTTGCATTTGAAGCATGTCGAAAAAGAAGAAGCAACCTCGGGTGAAAGGACCCGACGTCGAATATATCTCTGAGCAACCAAGTCGACGGTTCGGCCTGGATACGTCAGAGTTACAAATCAGAATATTTATCACGAGACTGAAGCTCCTGCGGTGGCTGTGCGGCGCTCGATAAAACGGAGATGCCTTCGGCGCCGTCGCGCGTCCTCAACTTCTCGATACACGCGTACCTGTCGTCTTGACGAGAAATGAAATCTAGTCGCGTGTCAATAGAGGGCTTCTATTCGTATTGGCGATATCGCGTGAGTACACCATCAAATTTCAGGATTGAAAGTTACATCCAAAAAATCTATATACAGAAGCCCAACATCCTTCGATAAAAAATACTTCACTTTTTTTTTTGTATGCAACAACAATCTATTGATCGACAGAAACTATTCAATAGACGTGTCCTTATAAAAAGTCCATGTTTTTCAAATTTTTACAATGATCGATCATTGTGTCGATAGCTTCAATTATCAGCAGGGATACCCTACATACTCTGGTGGTTCAATACCCTCTGGAAAAAACCGTAATCCCATGGCAGCGACGAGTAAATCCAAATCCAAAACAGAGAGATAAAAGAAAAACGACGCGGTAACAAATCCCCAAAAACGCGATACAACCGGCGGAATCCATCAGAACGATACCCGTGAAAAAGTAGCGTAGTGATCCCGAAAATGGCATCGCACGGCCCCCGATGGCAAACGTATAGCCGAAAAACCGGCGGACCTTGGCTGGGCCCGGTGTGTATGTATCAACGAGAGCGCGGAGCGGCGGGTCTTGTTGGAAAGCAGTTCCGTCGAGAGATCACGGCAGCAGGAGCAACAGAAGGTACGGGAGGGTGGGGAGGAACGGCAGCAGGAACGGCAGCAGTTGAACGTGGGGATCATGCCCGTTCACCCCGTCCTCGCTGTTTCCCCACCATCGACACTCTCCGTCCCACTTTTCGCTCGCGGGATCGATCGTGTTCTCTCTATCTTTGCCCGCGAGAAGAGGGGGCGTGAGAGATGGACGTGGCGGGAGCAACGAGAACATCGGGTTGGAGTGGGGGTCCCGTGCGAGGGGTGAAGAACGAACGGTGGGAGCAACGTGGGTTGGAGTTGGGTGGGGTGGGGGGAAATGTCAGTAGGTGGGGTACGATCGGTGGTGCTGGGCTAGCACGTGGTAGGGATAATTAAACCGACACAAACGTGACACGGACAGCGGTGCACGGAAGGACGAAGAAAGGTTACCATGGCTACGTGGATGGGATCCGGCCAATCCCGCTCTGGCTGGTAGGCGTGGCCTCTACATTGGCCCCCCTCGAGCTCCAATATCGCTGTCTCGCTCCGGCCGACCAGCCTACTGTCCTGGCTGCGGGCACAACCATGGAGAAAGGACGAGGGTGCGAGGGAGAGGGAGCGACAGAGAAGGAGGCAGAGTTAGGTCGCCCGAAGAGCCGGCGGGACTACCCGGTTGCAACGGGCGCGTACAAACGTATCATGCTGGGTAGGGCCGGTGCCGAGATGCCGGCTTGTAAACGAAACCAGTTTGCTATCCGATACGATCCAGGCAACAGCGGCCTCGCGTGATATCCCCACGGCCGAGGAGGAGAAACACGTCAGCGTGCGTACGTCTCTTGCCGGTGACCCCGAGGATATCTACCTGGAGAACGTTACCTGCGTCGGGAGTCGGTTGACAGTTGCGTCGGGGGTGAGACACGCCGCCACACAATACGGGAACAGAGAGCGCACCGGGTTACTACCAAGTGAAATTGTCAATCAACGATAGTTCAGCAAACGGATCGTTCAGTGCCATCTAGAACGTGGTTATCAGACCTTCGTCGTCGTCGGGCCGAATCGGTTGTGTTCAGTCGAAATCGGAACGGCAAAGGGGACAATTTTGTACACTGTATACAGAGTTTTATCGTGGCTAAAAACTGGTGACATACGAGAGAAGGGCTCAGAGTGATCGGTTTCAACAAGTACATTCTAGTGTCTTTTCCGTGAAGTGAGTTTCCGTATGTATATACTAGTCCAGTGATCGAATGAAACCAGTTGAGTAATGGATCCGCAGATCGTAGCATAATGAGAAGTGCGAAAAGCAAGCACAAATCGAGTCGGAGAGTATCCTGAGCCCGACCACCTGGGTGATATCGACGTTCCGGGGGTCAGACAGTCGAGTTTGTTCGAGACACAGTGCGGATAGTCAAGTGGCTTGTGATCGGGAGGATCGAAGGTGGGAACGAGCAGAGATGTCAGCCGTAGCACCAGCGGGAACCGGTGCGACAGCGCCTACCGCGAACGGACCGATCGTGCCTGCTCCGGTTTTTGCGTTACCGACGTTGTCGTTCACGGTGAACCAAGTGGCCACCGTGTGCGAGACCCTGGAGGAGAGCGGCGATATCGAGAGACTGGCCAGGTTCCTCTGGAGCCTGCCGGTCGCACATCCGAACATCCAGGAGCTGAATCAGAGCGAGGCTGTCCTCAGGGCAAGGGCAATCGTTGCGTTTCACTCGGGGCATTATCGCGAGCTGTACGCCATTTTGGAGAGGCACAAGTTCACCAAGGACTCCCACGGTAAGCTACAGGCGATGTGGCTGGAGGCGCACTATCAGGAGGCCGAAAAACTTCGCGGCAGGCCCCTCGGCCCAGTGGACAAGTACAGGGTTCGCAAGAAATTCCCATTGCCCAGGACGATCTGGGACGGCGAGCAGAAGACCCATTGCTTCAAAGAGAGGACCAGATCGTTGTTGAGAGAGTGGTACCTGCAGGATCCTTATCCGAACCCCGGGAAGAAGAGGGAACTCGCGGCCGCCACGGGACTCACGCCTACGCAGGTTGGGAATTGGTTCAAGAACAGGAGGCAACGGGACCGCGCTGCTGCTGCGAAAAACAGGTTCGTCCGTGATACTTATTGTTTCGTGATCAGATGAACATTTGGGACCAGAGCTTGGATGACAATTGTCTGGGCGAGATGGAATAAGATCGTTGCACGGAATCCTCGGTAGTTTCTTCGTCTTAAAGAAATACTGCAGGACTTTTTTAGAAACTGATTAGAATAATAGACTGAATTACAATTATTTACATAGTGTACATAGAAATTAATGAAATTATTAAGACAAAAATCTGTTTGGAAGATTTGATTGTTAACGTGTAGGTTACTTTAAGCTGCTAGGTTGTAATTTTTTTTGTGGTATTTTCGTATTACTTTACAAGCTGAACATGACGATGAATATCGGTATTCATTTCCGGTAGTTTTTTTAAAGTAGCCGCGACTCGTCGGAAGACACGAAAGTTTCGTTCATTAAGTAGCATTTAATGGAAGTTAATCGCGAAACGATTAGTGGTTTAGGTCCCTTTAGTCAGATTGTTGTGCCTGTATCCTCGGCAAACGAGCCTTTGTGCCTGCCCCAAGGTCTACGCCGCGGAGGGTCGCGTAATTTCATTTTGACGTCCGACGGAGGGTCGCTGCCGTCGGGCGAACAACGATTTTCGAATTACGTCTTTCAAATTGTATTTCGTCCCGATGCCTTTCCTCCGCCCTCGTTCCGCGGATATATATACGTCTGCATAGGCGAGTCCTGCCCCGGAGTCGAGTCTAAACTGTCGTCCCAGTCAATTTCGTATCATCTCCGTTCATACCGGGATATTGAACGAACTTTACCCTATCCTATATACGAATATCCCTTTTGTATATCTTCTGCGTCGGTAATAATTCTCATCGAGTCGTTTGTAAACTCAAACGGCTAGAACACCGATTTCTATCGCGATAATTTAAAACGAACCGCTCAAAAGCGATTCAACTCGGATAGAAGAATAATCTAGATAGGAAAATAGAAGATGCCCAGTCAAAAAAACTTAACGAATTGCAAAGTAAGAAGTGTTGTTATTTTCAAAACACTCTCAGCCCGTGAACGTTAGAATAAAAGAAAGGAAAGTGATAATCCGCGCTCCACCCTCGATTAGTCACAACTGGTCGTCATTAAGGGGTCGTCGCACGGGCGTTGATCATAGAAAAACCGGGTGGTACCACCACCTGTCGTCCCGATTCCAAGCGGTTCCAATCTCAGGTAACGTCTGGTGGCGGCATTGTTCGGCCATTTGTCGCCGGGGCGAATAGCGCCGGGGCATTATTTCCCTTACCGTCGCGAGGGGGGAAACTTCGTGGTGGGTTTTTCCCCGCGGCCACGATATCTCACTTCCCTGGACACGTCGAGGATGGCCCATCCCGAGAATACTGGGACCCCGAGAATTCCTTTTTTGATTTACGAGCCCTGGGAAAACCGACGCCCGAATATTTCGAACGAATATCGCTCTCTTTCTCTCATCGCGGCTTCGACCGCGTGTGATTTTACGCGTATGATTCACCGTGGCAAGGACACACTGGGGGGAAAATTTTCCGAGCGCAACAACCGACCGCTCGGAAATTCGTGAAATTCGGGTCTCGCTCGTCTCCCACATGTATGTTCATACTGTGTAAAGAGCTTCGTCGAGCGTTATAAAACGAGTTTTATACGCCGTGTTTTGAAACTCCGTGAAAGTTATTGCGTTCGGGTTTAGTCGCCGAATAATGATAATGATATTGGTTTTTAAACTGACAGCCAGGATTGTGGCTTTTATACGCAGACTCTTTTAACTCTGATAATGGGAAATAAAAGTTTGGGGATGAGGGATCGCCGGATGACGCATAAAATACAGGGGGTTGGGTTTATTGACTGCATCCATGGTACACTTTGAAAAGCTTGAAATTCGCTCTTTCGTTTGGAAAACGTTTTGTATGGAATTTGTTTCAAGGTGAAAGATCATTTTACCCGTGCATCGTGTCGCGGATATTTTTCGGAGCTTGTGTAATCCTTCGAGCTTGGAATTGTTCCAAACCTAGATTGTTCGTAGCGCGCACGGACATCTGTAATTATTGTGCTCCGAATGAAGTCATTAATAGTTATTACTTACAACGTCTATGCTGTAATTGATATATCGTTAACGACCGAGGATCGTCCGACTATACTGGTCTAATTGATCTTGATGAGGCCGCGCAACGGGAAAAAGATTACACGTTTCAGGCTTGTGATGCCCGTACTCACCACTAGGATTGTCCGTTTCGCGTTAAAATAAAGGAGGAATCTTTACAATGTCGCGATATTCACTTCGGTACAGTGTATAGTATTCGTCCAAGTCTTTATACGTTGATAATACAATTTCTTGACAATAAAATAGAAAATTTCAGACACTTTTCAAAAATCGAATATTTTCCTTTATAACTCTAAAGTTTAATTCCGAAAAATCGAAACCTTAGAGAAGTAACAAATTATTATTTTAGCTATTTCTAATATGTGGTTTAGTGGTTCGGTACTAAAATTTAAAAAAAATCAAAAAACGGAGTTAGTCACTTTGGCCTACGGACAATAATTATGACTGTGATTATGAAAGTTGTGTAGAGTAAAAAGAATTTAAAAAATTGGATTTTTCTCTTATTTTATGACACAGGGATTTATATTTCAATATTACGAAAGAATTTTCCAAATGAAAAATACACGTCTTGCACTACTTTCATGACACCATCATAATTATTAATTGCGTTACTGTAAATCATGTTCTGCGTTATCTTCAGCTCTGACAGAGTAGAACAATACTAACATTAGACAAGTCACAGGACCACGGAGACAGGAAGAGGTCCCCGATTCGTCACGGATTTGCAAAGATATTCGAGATACTCAAATGACCAATTCTCTTTACATTTCCGTCGATACAAGAGCTGTGTATTCTAGTCAGGTTATCCAACAATGGCCGTGCCCGTACCTATCGTTACCCGGCGTAACGACATTCCGTTTCTGGCCTCGAGCCACATTTTCCTGCACGTAATCCTGCGAATCCCCGGACGAATCCTCCTCCTCCTCGTCCCTTATGTACATTCTGCCACGACGTGGACCGAAAAGCTTTTCTCCGTTCTCTCAAAAATATCGATTCACGTATCGAACCGGGCGTTCATACAATATGGATAGGTACCATTGTTACCACCGGCAGCTTCTTTCGTTGTCGCTCAACCATCGACATTTCGACGTTAACACCTTTGAATATAATATTTTCTGATTGGAAGTGATAAGAAACATAGATAGAAAATATGATGCTGCATAGTTTAGAAATTTCCGAGAATTAACCCCCATGGTCTATTTTAATCTATAATTCAATTCTTCTTGTTGATACCAAAACTATGTTCTTGGTAGATCTTAATTTATAACAAAGGTAATTTTTTATCGCAATATAAGTTGAATACACACGTCAACCTAACCTTCCGGAGAGAAACCCCTACAGTCACATAAAAAATGAAAATACGTCGACTAAATAATTTCAGGTACGGTACGAACAATTAAAAATCAATTCCCGCAACGTTCAGTATTCTTAATAAATTTCTGTAAATTATCAACGCTATATTCACTTGCGGTATCAAGTACCAATACGTGTTCTCGAGATGGTTAACTCTTTTTTCCCCTATTAACAGTTCACCAATACGAGTCATCGAGTCATGGTCCCTGTTCTATTCCCATCAAACAAAAATCCGTCCCTTTGTCGCCCGCGGTTCTAAACGCAACGTAATTCCCTTCGCGATGCATTTTCAACCCCCTTCCTTCGTGGGCACGGAGGTAATACACAGGATGAGTCTCTTCCATCGCATAGTCGTCATTTTGCTCTCGGGGGGAGGGAGGGGGGGGGGGGGGGGGGAATCCGCACACTGGCAGCCTCGCGGTATATTTTCGCGGTCCAGCGAGCGAGTTATTCAATATGCTCAACCCCGAAAGCCCCGGAGCAATCTCCGTGCCTCGCACGTACTTCCCATGCACCTCTATCTCTACACCGAGACCCGTGAACGTGCTCGTGTGCGTCTTTCCCTGGTTACGTCTGCGTGTGTATGTTTAGCTCGCTCGCGCGACCAACGATTACGTCCGTGTTTCGTGTCTATGTGGACCCTCCAGTTATATATTACGGAGGACGAGCCTGGGACACGTTTCTACGTTCTGCCTTGCAGGTGTACTCTCCGCTATATGAGCGCAATCGGTCACGTTCTACATCACGCGCGCGAGCGCAAGCTACGTTGCGGGAACTTACGGATCGTAAAGTTCGCCACGGCAACCGCGGCTATCACCACGGGCGCATAATTTGCGCGACAGACTGCGGAGAGGGGCACGTATTCAGTTGACTCTGGTTTGTCTTTATTACAGAGACACAGTCCTCCGAACGGACGAGGTCAAAGGAATGTCAGAGTTTAGGGGGTAATATTGAGCTTTGGTAGAATCGACTGTTTTAAAGTCGTTGGAAATAGACTGAGGATGTTTATGGAAATTGAATTTTTTATGTTGGCTAGTTTATGGAAAGAGGTGTTCAATATTAGTTCGCGGCTTGTATCATCCTACTGATTACTGTAAGCGTACTAGAACAGTCATATGATTTATTTGACATTTTTGGTACTTACTATTTAAAGTATTCAGTTTTTTTTCTCAGTTGTGTAGGTTACTTATAAAGGATAACAATTCCATTTTATCGGGTTGAAAATTCTCGTTGCTACGTTTAGAAATAATTATTTTTAACTGTTTTATTGAAACGCCGCTATCTATGCGATAAGTTCAAAAGGTTTCAATTTAAACTTTCATTGCTAATTCTATTCTATCGAATGATATTCGAAATTACTATAAATGTAAATGTTATGATGAGATGATAAATTTTCTCCTAGTCTGAAGGAAATGTTTCTAAAGACAGTAAATAAAACTCTTCGCTATCGATTTCCAAAAAAATCTGTTGACTTTTCAAGAAACCCAAATTGCAAGTCCAACATATAAGTTTGCGATAATGAGCATCCACTTTGAAAGTTGAAACCAAGATGTTCGAAGATATCGTTGGCAC